ATGGGCTTTCGAATGGTGTATGAATTATTTGTGTTGTTATTACAAGTGTTGCTGTGACCCCCTAGGAAAAGGTTATGCCCCGCCCTGTATGTTTCGGCCCTCTACAACTGTGATATCTGGAGTTTTCTGTTCCAAATGACAACTCGTTTGTATTCAAAAGTTCCACAAGATCTTCACCTTCTCATTTTCGGTAACATTTTCCACTTTGTGCTCCCATTACTTTTTGGATATAGGTAAGTCGTATTTTTTACATAATGACCAGTGGATTAATTTAGCTGTTCGGTCATGTCTAGTTTTGTAATCAGTTTCTGCAATTTTGCTGCATTCACATATTCAATGTGAAACAGTTTCAACTTTGTTGTTGCAAAGTAGGCAGTTTGGATTGTTAGTGGATTTCCATATCTTCGCTTTCATGGCATTAGTTTGTAGTGCTTGTTCTTAAGCAGCGAATACTAAACCTTCCATTTCTTTCTTGATGGTTCCAGTCTTAAGCCATGTTCATGTCAAGTTGTCATCACATTTTCCTTCATTGTTTTTCCAAGTGCTGTCTAAACTATGCTTTGGTTTTCCATCTATTTAATCTGTCATCCAACTGTTTTTTCCTTATATTCTGCCTTTGTTCCTGTTGTTTTTATACTGTTCTTCATTTTCACAGCCTGTTGTTGTTGTTATTATTATCCCATGCCACTTACCATCCTGGCTGCTATCCTCTGACATGATTCAATCTGGTAAAATCATTATTCCTAAAGTGTGTTGTCCAGAAGTGGACATAGTAATCCAGGAGCAGTCTGGATTATTACAATAATGTAATTCACAATAAAATTACACGACTATCACATGGTGGCTATTCAAAAATCATATACAATACGTATACTATCCAGATAACTGACTGCAACCTCTGATTATATATTAACAAATATCACTAGTTTCTAGGCAGTTAAAACAAATAGGTAATAATTATACATCCATAAACTCTGTATACATATACAATTAAAGCTACTGTGCAATAACATTTTGTTAAAAATTGCTTAGTAGTCACCATTCTTACTATATAAAGAATAACATATTTCTATAAAGTTATGTAATAAATATATAACTATACTAATCAAAAGAAATAGGTTTTTCCATTTTAAAAAAGCATCTTAAGGAATTTGGAATCAATAGATGCATACGTGCCACACACATAAATACACACACATACACAGATGCCCAAAGAGTTTTACAGGATCTCTGGACTAGAATGTAAGTATATGGACCCATTTACAGTTATTCATTGCTGTGATATGAAACAACTGAAACTAAATACCTATGTGACTATATGAATGAAAATCAATTATTTTTAATTTAAGACTACCATCTAGAGGTAAAAGTGTGAATTTCTTTAAAAAAACTGAATATGAAATTCTCAGCTTAGACACTAGAGGCAAAATTATCAAACTCTCCTTGTTATTATTCCCTCTCTTTTTCCAGTAACCAAAAGTTACTGCTTTTATGCAGAAGCAGTTGTTTAATTTCAACACTCCAGCACCAAATATGAAAACTAGAATTGAAATGCATTTACTAATAAGTTGTTATCCAGTAACAAATTGAAAAAAATGTTATTGTTTTACTGAAAAATATATTGTTTATGCAAAGGTTTTAAGTATAGATACTGACTCACCTTTGACATATAACTAGTTATTTATCTGCCTTACTAGAAATAGCCTTTGTAGTTTAGTTGGAGAAAACAGAACAAGAAAAATAACTCAGCACTTAAGTGTTTGCTTTCACATTAATTTTCTTTCTTTCTTTCTTCTTTCTTTCTCTTTCTTTTTCTTTCTTTCTCAGCCTGACAAAATTTGATCCAGGATTTTCATGTATTTCAAACATTTAAAATATGTATATAATACTGCCTGCTTCCAGGGTATTGAAAGTTGAGTCAGTTATAAGATTACCAACCAGATCTAAATGGTAAAAGTCTGGAAAACATTAAATGTCAGATGCAGAAAATTCTTAAACACTTATTCTTTTCAGTAGTCTGGATTTTTACAGTACAAATATAATAGCCCGTGTCAGTGAATGGGTGTGGGTATTTGTGCACGTGTAGCCGTCCATCCATCTTCCATTTGCTTCAGATGCCTCTTATAAAATCAGATCATAGTGAGTTTAATGAGGCATATTCCCAAATAAATCTTACTACCTTTCATATCTATATTTTTGAAAATGCTCATTTCCCCCCACCCTCTAAAAATATTTTTTTATTCAACTGCTTGCGTATCTGGATGTTCGTCACTGTTAATTTTAAATTTAGAATTTTAAAATCAGAATTCGGAATATTGGATGCATATTCTTTTTCAAAGGAATAAAATGTCAAATTGACTTCAATCCAATGGGATTTGGGTTTTCCAAGCACAGTTGAATCAAAAAGTTGTTGTAGCAGTGTTTTAACAGTTTTAACAAAATCACAACCTCAAGAAGCTTCTGGGAAGGACAACCGAACTTGCACTACAAGTGAGTTGACCTTCAAAACGTTTTTCAAATTGATGCATCATTCTACTTGTGAATGCCTCCACAATGTTTGAATGCATATTCCAATGCAGGATCTTTCACAACAATAATCCTTACAGGATACTAAAAGAAAAAACCAATCAAGTGGGAGGAAATTCCTTTATATTTAAACATGCACTCACTTTAACTTTTTAACATGTTTCAAAGCAAAGGACTTACATCCTGTTCAGAAAAACAAAACTATTTGTATAAAGGAAACAGCTGTCAAATAAATTGGGCAAAAAATCCTTTGTCCTGCCTCTAAACAGAAATGGGTTTCTTTCAGCCTTTATAAAGGTATAGTTGAAGACGTCATCAAAATAATTCATTGCATATTTTTCTCCTTAATTTTTACACTAATATCAAGAGCTTTTAACAATATAGGAATATTTCAGATTACTCTGAAGCATATTCCCTCTGGTTTTCCTATTTTTCAAGCATTTATTTATTTGTATCCCACCTTTATTTTTTTATAAATAACTCGAGGCAATGAATATATCCAATGCACAGTCACCCCCTATTTTTCTCATAACAACAACCCTGTAAGGTATGTTAGTGATAATTGTTGTACAACAGCAAATGGTTGTATGCAATTCAAAAGGCAGGCATGTTTCCATTTTAATCAATTCCCATCAAGCCCTGGAACCTGAACAGTAAATTAAAAAAAATATTTTATGATAATAAAATAGAATCTCATACAGTTGCTGTATATTTCATCAATCTTGCTTAAGAAATCATGCAAAATTTCAAAATCTTATGCAATTTCATAAGAGGTTCAAAAGACATATTTTTGAAGGGAATTCAATGGGTAAATCTAATTTTAACTTAAAAACTCTGTTCTACACTGTACTCATTCAACCTCCAGTACGCTATATGATCAAAATATGTTTTTAATCCTAAAAAGACTATCTATCACTGTTTAAAGCAGCCCCATCAAGCATATGATAAAAATGTAATGAAAGAGCAGCAGATTCTTAATTTGTTATGATTACATTGTGAAAAGTGTGAAATAAGTCGCTCTGCCTCTTCTACACCCCTCCTTTGATGGGAAATAAAGTAATATTATCAGTTTTTGTTAATATGTATATTGACTAAAGAAGGTATACCATTGATTCTTAGGAAACAAAATATCTTGGGTTTATATTGTTTCCCAGGCTACATAGAATAGATCAGCCTCTACTGACTTAAATGAGAATTGTAAAATTAAAACCATTTTCAGTACTCTTTAATGACTAAATTTTTACAATAGTTAGGCAGGTTAAAATTCTTGGATACAAAAATCCAGACAATTAATTACTAGATAAAAACAGTAAATACCGAATATTCACCCTCTTTCCATCAAAAGCAATAGAGTGATATTTAGCAGCCCAGAACTGGGAGCCTAAAATTAGGGTCTAGCTGTGAGACAATTCTATATCAGTTTTATATCCATCTATGGTTTTCATCCCTGTCCATCCCTAATCTGTCCCTGTCCCTCCCTAATCTGTAGTTTCATAGTAGAGGTTTTTCTAATTCAAGCGCATACAAAAGCAAAGTTTTTTTTTTTAAAAAAGAAAACTGTAAACTGTATACACATTAAGCAGGGGTGAACTGGAACCTAGGAATTCAGAATTTTTCCCATACTGTACCTGTGCATTTATCTGAACTATCTCACTTCACTTTGTATATATTAAATGCAGATATTCTGTAGACAGACACTTATTATATCCATTTTATTAGACCTAGAAGTTTTGGAATTTACAGTCCTAACCTAACTGCAGCAGAACACTAAACTAGATTCTGCCTATGATTAACAGTGTGGTTTTCTTTCTCCAATTTTCTCTTTCCTTTCTTCTGACACTAATTAGTTATTTTTCAATGCAATGTGCACTTTATCTGTTTAATTAACTGAGGTTGAAAAGACAATTTCTTCAGAACAAATAAACTGCTACTATATTTGGCACATGCACTCAACTTTTGTTTAACTGACTGCCATTTTTTTCCACAAACAAAAGACAATGGGAACAATTCCAAGTAAAGATGTCCTTGTCTGCAAGCCTCACTCAATTAAGTGGGAATAAGTCAAGATGAAGTATTCACATTTTACACCCATAAAATGAAAAGTGAATTTACATTATCAGAATTTCATTTTTAAGATATACATTCATTTCTGATGTATTCTTGAAATTATGCCTCACTAATGTGAAATGTTTTAGAGATTTGAAAAAATACCACAGATGACTTAAGGTTTTTCTCTAAGATATGGGAACTATTCAATGTGCTCAAATTAATAGGTTTTCCAGAGGTTTTTTTTTTTAAAAAAATATGACATCGTCTTAAACAGAAAAAAAATCTTATAGTTAAGAATATTATATATATTAATATTAGATAATTTAAAATCAAACTGATGACAATAATAATGGCATAGAAAAATGTGCTTGCAATTACAAATTGTATAGAGCTGGCCAAAGTTTTATCTAATATATACTGATTTTGAAAATAAATACCATTTAAGCCAAAACAGAAATATTCTCTGTTGAAGTAATACCTATGACTATAATTTATAGAACTTAGGTGGGAAACATGTTTTACATATCTTACCACTGCAAACAACTGTGTCATCAACATTTTTTTTCCTGAAGTACTGGATGCCTGCAGGATATAATTTCTGGCTCATAAGTACCTGATCATTTTGTCAGAACACACAAGTTGAAGCACTATAAATTTCTTTCAATTTCCTACCCTGTACAGATGGTTTCATTGCACAGCTTAGATTTTAAAACAGGATGTGATTTGACCAGTTTTTGTGTGATGGCAAACACTGACGCACATGAAAAATCAAATACCTGAATTGTAAACTACAACAGCTGCACATATAATAAGTAACTTTAAGGGTAATATTTGATATAGTAATAGCAAAACATTGTTAAAAATTAACTGGGAAAAAAATATTACCAGTCTCTCCATTTCCTGTTCTTTCAGCCTTTCTTCTCTTTGCCTCCTATGGTAGTCCATTAGGTCTTCTCTTCCAGAAACAGAACTAATGCTGCTCTTTCTCTCTCGCATGGAAGGAGTCTGCCTGTGGCTTTCCAAATCTGTTTCATCAAACTCCATAGAGCTATTGGAAATTCTTCTTCTTGCAGGAAACCCTCTCTCGGCATCAACAAGAATAAATGAATTATTAGGGCTTGTTCCTGACAATCCAACCCTATCAAAGTCATCAGATGCATATGAGGAAGTAGATGCCAGAAGCATTTTCCTAGCTATCCGGGGGCTTGCAGGAACACTGAGAGTTGAATTTACATAGGAATTCACTTCAGGTAGAAAGTTTGAGTATGGCAATACTCCTGAAGTGCAAGAAGAAAAATGAAGGTAATTGTCGGCATCCAGTATATTTTGAGGTAGAGGGTCTTTTTCAATAGTCTTTTTTCTTTTGGAATTCCCCAAAGAGCTTCTGGGTGGTAAACTCAGTGGTGTGAGTTGGCTTTCTGTTGATTTATAAAGCCTGGGCAATGACCGACTATAAACTCCCATGTGGCTCAATGACCCACTCGGATATTTTCTGGTTCTAGGCTCCTGAGCTTCCATTGCTGAATCCTTTTGTTTAGTTGACCTAGCCTGAATGGAGATAATGTCATGTATATTCATTTTCCTGCTTTGTTTTGGACTAGAGGGCATACTGGCAGCTCCAGAGCTGCCGAATGGGGAAATAATGATATCATTTCCTGAATTCCCATTCCACATTGTAAGAAGAGAGCCAGAGTTTTTCCACCCATCCAGTGCTCCTGGGAAATAGACACTATCATGAGATTTATTCTTCTGACTGTACTTTGAATAGGGAAATTTACTCAGATGTCCAAACTGTTTTTCATTTTCTCTGGTAGCATAAACATCGAAGTCTTTCTTTCCAAGGCTGCACCCACTTAATGATGAGAATGTGCCTGAAATGGGGCCCATATGCTTTAGAGAAGCATTTTTGTCTGAAAGATAAGAGTTCTCATAAGCCAAAGGTTTGATTCCCTGAATTTTGGAAACAGATGGCACACTTTTAACACTGGATGCAGGGCTCAATTTAGGTGCCAGAGGCTGGGAGAGAGTTAAATAAGAACCAGAGTAGTCTTCATTTGTTTTTAATTTCAGACTTGATGAGTATTTTTTCTGGCTGAGTTTGTCCATTATATGCTGGAGATCAGTTTCAAGAGAATTCATAACTACTTCTTTTCCCAAACTGGTGTTTTGTAATTCCACCTGGTTTTGCATATGGCCATATTCTTCCAACATCTTGTTGGAATCTGTAAAAAAGAAAAAAAGAGAGAAAAGAACAGGAAAGAGTTTTAACAAGTGAATTATTCACTCTTTTCCTAGCTTGCAGTATTTCTACAATTCATACTTCATGCGACTTGAACTCAACAACAAATTTGTAGAAACATTGATTACAGTAAATATAAAGATGAGTAATTTTAAAAACTATTTTCAAATCACAGGATTAAAAAAGTATTACTGTTTTAAACAGCCCTGTTATACAAAAAGAATCAAGATAGACCTGTGTGAGATGAGACGCCACCAAATCAATGATGTTAGTGGTACACCAGAAACAAATTTTCTGTATAAGCTATTTATCTTAGCTGCCTGCAAAGAAAGAAAGAAAATGAATGGCTGGGGGAAGGGTCAGGATTCTTACTTACAAGTAGGTAATAGATTGTATTGGATAAAAGGCAGAAACAGCCTTATAAAGCTGTCTCAGTTTCAGGAATAATTTATTTATGCATTAAGTTAAGTAAATTCTTGCCACTTAAATTTGTTCTTATAATGATTTCCCATATTTTGCCCCCCAACAAGCAATGGGTGGACATTAAATTAGTGATAATATAATATTCAGAGTCACATAGTCACAAACACTTCTCTTTTATGGGAAAACCTTGTCCTACTTTATATATATATTTAAACCTTTTCAACAACAACTACATTCTTATTGTACAAAAACCCTGAAAAATAAGACTTCAAAATTGTAAATGTTAACACCGACAAATAACTTTACATTCCAATTTATACAATATAACTGAAGAGTAAGGGGGAGATATCTCAGTGTGCTATCTCATTTATGCAATTAGAAGGAGAGGATTCCTGAATAGATTGAGTATTGCTTTTCAATCTTTCTCCCTATTCCAAAGCTCTTTGGATTCATTGAGAAATTTGGCTACCAAGTAGAAACCTATTTTAAAACAATGCATAACATGAAAAGGAATTTTATTGCTCATCAATCTACAAGGGGCATTATTCAACTGGATCATTATCATCATAGTTACCAGATTGATAAACATTATTTCTAATACATGATCCAGCATAAAGCATGGAAAATATTGTGCATTAGCAAGAATTTTGCATTACTCCACCCAGCACATACAAGAATAATTTGATTAAAGTGCTAACACGTACAATATTCTAAACTGCTCATTGTTGTTTCTATATTCATTCTAAAGTTAAATTAAGCTGTTGAAAGCAGATTTTGAGCATCTGCAAATCTGGTTCTGTTTAAATGTATGGAATATTAAAAGAGGTTTAGAGGGGGAAGCAATAATCCTGCTCACTATTGTCTATTTTGTTTAGCAGCAGCTCTCTAAATCATCTGGGAAATTCCAGAGATTGAAATATTTGCATGTGTTTCAAATGTAATTCCAAGAGTTATTTTCAGCATTTTGTACTTATATGCAATACTTTGTCCATTGATTTCAATGGAGATAAAGGAATACGGAAAATTATTTAGTTATACTATTTGTATACTGGTGAATCAATAAAGACTCACAGTAGTTTACAGCAGTTCAATAAATATACACCCATGCATAATAACTTTAAAAAAAATATCCATGGTACATCATCATAAGCAAAATACAAAGGAAAAATGGAACCTAACAACTAGCTCTATATTTTTAATCTAAAAAAATAACATTGTAAACATAGAAGCAAAATATGAATAGTGCTAATTTTACTCAGCCACAATTTTTTTAAAAAAATGTCTTATTTATGATATTGTCATAAATATGATTTCTGTTATGCCTTAATTGGTACTTCTAGGTTAACACAAACATAGCAGCTTGTTTTGGAAAGAAGATCTCTGTAGGTCAACTAGAGTTGAAATTGATTAACTTTCACTGCACAGTAGCTTATTTCACATGTTGGTAAACAAGTACTTGCTAATTAAAGTTATACCGAAACAATGCATTTGCTATCTTGTTAGTTTCCTAAACAGGCAGAAAACTAGTGATTCAACATTACTTAGGAGGATAGGAAACCAAAGTTTATGTTGTGCAGAATATATTCAAATCATGACTCCTGTAGCTATTGCAATTCTGAACATTTTACAGGTGAATACGTTATTTTGATCATTAATGAGATAGCATGCACACAGCTTAGTTTAACTTGGACTGCATCATAATTAATCAATAGTTCTAGAACATTAAATGCTAAAGAAGCATTACCATAAGAAATGAATTACCTGTTCTAAGACTGTGGTAAGCAAGATTACTTCTATTTGGCATCATATTGCTGCTCGCCAAAAGAGATGGGTTATTACATCCAAATTAGATGAAAACAAATTCTGACACCTGTAAACAACACCACAAGAATAGTAAGCTCATAATAAACAACACTTTGAAATATCTTTAAAAACTAAGTATATATTAAAATATTACAGTTTGCTTTCTAAACTAAAAACTTCTAGTTTATATACAATATGTTTAAAATCCTAAAGTTCTCAAAAAGGAAGAAAAAAAACCCAAAGCAAACAAATCTCTTGTGAAACAAACAGTAAGTGAAACTGGAAATAACCAACAATTTAAGCAGGAAATGTGAGGAAGACAGGAGAGATGCATAATAGAATAAATATACTTTCAGTGTTTTTACAATGTAGAACTGAAACCTAAAAGGCAACTTAAAATGTTATCTACAGTATTTGTGTCCATGCAATCATCTCAGTTTTAATAAAAATAAAATCTGCTTGACCATTTATTTGCATTTTCTCTTGGTTCCATTTATTAATAAGCAGCTCTTCCTTCAATTAAGCAACGGGATTATAGAAGCCTTCAAATTTGATGGTCCCTAGTTAGAATGGAATACAATTTGGATTGGGGGGGGGGGTACGCGACAGGATTCAGCTGGAGAGTTCAAGGGGCTTCAAGACCTGAGATTTATCATCCTTAGTTCTGGATGGGGTTGCGCTATCCATGACAAACCCAGTGCAAAATCTGGGGCTTCTCCTAGATTCACAATTCCTGCTCGAAGAGTAGGTGGCAGTCATGTCTAGGAGAACCTTTCTGCAACTTCATGTTGTAAGGCAGCTGTGCCCTGTCCTGGATGGTGAGGCCCTGTAGAGAGTCAGTCATGTCGTGGTCATCTGCCAACTGTATTACCACAACATGCTCTACATGGGGCTATCCTTGACGAGTATGCGAAAGCTACAGTTGGACTGCCTCACCCCAATGGTAATAACCTACCTTACTTGTTCCAGTGAAAAAGGCTACTTCAGATCTTGTCAACCAAAGAATTTTGACTGGCAGGATCCAGGAGAAGAACCTTTTCTGCTGTGGACTCCCGCCCTCTGGAATATTCTGCCATTAGAGGTGAAGTTTGCCCTCACATTCCTGGCCTTCTGGAATAGCTATGGCTGTGCTGTTTGGCCAGAGGCCCCAAACAGAACCTGTTACATTGGGGTTGGTTGAGGGGCTAAAGAAGATTATCAACCCCAAAATGTCTATTATCTTAATTTTTAACTTTTATTTATTTATTTATTTATTTATTTATTTATTTATTTATTTATTTATTTATTTATTTGTTTATTTATTTATTTATTTATTTTATTGGTACGATTTATAGGCCGCCCAATCCCGGAGGACTCCGGGTGGCTTACAACGAAGGGAAGGAATAATAAAAAATGAAAATAAAATAAAATAAAATAAAGAACAGGTTAAAATCAACACACATACATTCGTTATGATCGGGGCTGGACCTCAACAATGAGGTCAACAGCCCCAGGCCTGCCTGAATAGCCAGGTTTTAACAGCTTTTCTGAAGGCCATGAGACTGGGCAAGGTCCGGATTTCTGGGGTTAGCTCATCCCAAAGGGTGGGACCGGCCACAGAGAAGGCCCTCCTCCGGGGAGCCGCCAGCCGACATTGTCTGGCTGATGGCATCTGAAGGANGCTAAGCAAGAGCGTTGTTAAGTGAATTTCACCACATTTTACAAGTTGGCCATGCCCACCCAGTCACACGACTGCCAACCCACTCCTACCCAGTCACATGACTGCTAAGCCACTCCTACCAAGTCACATGACCACCAAGCCACTCCCACAAAACAGGCGACACCTACACAACAGATTCTAAAAAATTTTGAAACCCACCACTGCTCTGTAGCAATTGAATTGAAACTAGAATGCCCTGTATTTTAGCTAAAGATGAGGAAATATTTTAAGCAACATCCCCTTCTTGATATTTCTGACACTTTTTGAGCAGCAAGTATTTCAAAAGATAAAGGAAGATGCACCTTATATCCAATGTGATCCTTAATGCTGACAGGAATTCCATACAGCAAGCCTTTCTCTTTTTGCTTCTTCAGGTCCTGGAGCTGTTCCTCACATCCGTGAAGAAAATCTGTCACACAGTTCACCTCCTGGGTTACTTCAAGAGCCTGGTCCAGAAGGGGAAACATCATTTATTAAATAAATCAAATTAAGCTGGAGTCAAACTTTGTATTCTGGAAAATCCAGCTGTTGACCCAGAGGATAGATGGATGTGTTTGTGGGAGCGAGGAAGCATAAGTTAAAAACAGTGATAGGTGCTATGAATTACATCTAGCCAGAGTAGCACTTACCCTTTTTATATAGGTATACAAGACACTCTCTGAAGAAAGCTTTTCCTCTCTGAGTTTCTCTGCCAGTTCTGTTAGTGTCAGAGAAAGGATAAATTCACATTGGATTCCAGGATTCTGCAAGTAGAAACAGCCATGTCATAAAGGAAAAGCATGGAAACAGCCCTAAATTTATGTCACAAGCCAGGACAAAAGATATACTGCTGGAATTCCTTGTGGCAAATCAAGAACACAAACTCAAAGAGAATTAGAACCCACAGATTATATACAATACAATTGAATGCAATTCAGAAGAGAATTCTTGGGATGTCAATTAAAAACTTTATACTTTAATCCACTTTTCAGCCTCAACATCAGAGGTGGTATTCAGCAGGTTCTGACCAGTTCTGGAGAACCAGTAGCAGAAATTTTGAGTACTACGGAGAACCAGTAAATACCACGTCTGACTGTCCCCACCCCCATCTATTCTCTGCCTCCCAAGTCCCAGCTGATCAGGAGGAATGGGGATTTTGCAGTAACCTTCCCCTGCCACACCCACCAAGCCATGCCACACCCACCAAGCCACACCATGCCCACCATGCCATATCACGCCCACCAATCCGTGTCCACAGAACTGGTAGTAAAAAAAAATTGAATTCCACCACTGCTCAATATCCACTTTTTTCTTCAGGTTTCAGTCGCATTGCAAAGTTTCATGTTTTTTAACAAGTGCGTAATTTTTAAATGTGAGCTATTTAGATACTCTGCTTTTTGGATTTGGGTTTCAAAGTCCAAGGAAATATAATCTGTGCTTTGCATCACGTTGATATATGCCTGTTAAAAGCATTGGCTTTAGGTGCTACAATGATTCAACAGAAAGCCATTTATAAATTCTGGCATTCACAAGCTTTTACTACAAGCACAATTGCTCTTGTTCGTTTAACCCAGCAAACACAATAGCTTTCTAATCCTGGCTGATCTGAAGTCCTTCACAGGGGCAATATAGGGATTGTTACTCTTTTGTAAGAATATAGATATAAATATCAAACCTTATCACCAAGGTTTGACCAAGTCTATTTATTTTGAGCTCACCAATGAGCAAAATGAATCAAGCCTAGAAAACATTCACTGGCTTCTTAGAAACCACTGAACTGTTTCTTGGATTCATATTTCATCTTTCTTCCAGGAGCTCAAGGTACGTAGCATCCCATTTCAAATTTTCCTCAGAACAAGAATTTCATGAAATGGGCTGCCTTAAGACAAAATGATTGGCCCAGAGACACCTAGAGTTAATGATGTTCTTCCATTGCTGACTTATCCCTGGATTTCCCTGGACTTAGCCTACTTTATCATCCTGGCTCTCCCTCTAGCCTTCTTTCTAGGCAAGATTTATACCCACTGATGTATAAATGGTCACATAAAAATCTGATCAGATATACCATATTTTTCAGAGTATGAGACGCACCTTTGTCCCTCAAAAAAGAGGCTGAAAATCTGGGTGCGTCTTATACACTGAGTACAGCATTTTTGGCCTCCTGAAACCCTACCCCCTTCACCAAAACTGCCATGTATAGCCTTTAGAAGGCTTATAGAATGCTCCTGGGGGCTGGGAAGGGCAGAAATGAGCAAAAAAACGGGCCGTTTTTTGTTCAATTTTGCCCCCCCCCCAGCCCCCAGGAGCACTCTATAAGCCTCTTAAAGGCTATGCATGCCTTTTTGTTAAAAACTTTTTTTTAATTTGCCTCTTCAAAATCTTGGTGCGTCTTATATTCCGGTGTGTCTTATACTCTGAAAAATGTGGTAGGTNTTTCACCCTCTTTAATTCTAAATTTTACTTTACTAATTTTGTTTATTTTTATAATGCAACTCTACTGAGATTGTATTTGGTCTGGAGACTTATTCTCTCTCTCTCTCTCTCTCTCTCTCTCTCTCTCTGTGTGTGTGTGTGTTTCTCTCTCTCTCACACACACAAACACACTTTTAATTGAGGATTTGTATTACAATAGTAAAATCTGATATAAACTAAAGGAAAGAAAGAACAGAAGAATGGAAAGTGGAAAAAGGGAAGAAAAAACAAAAAACAGAAAAGAAAAAACAGGAAAATATATGTAAAGAAATGACTTTCAACCTTTAACACAAGTATAATTTTTGTAACTTTTTATCCTCTTAGTTGACAACCAATCTCATCATCCTATAAACAATTCCTTATCTATAGACAAATCCATACACTTCATCTTTTCAGTCCTAATGTCAACAGAAAACCCATTTAGTTTGACAAAAAATAAGAATATATCTTATTTTAATCTTGATCAAATAAACCAACTTTATACCCCCCCGCTTTTACTTCTAACAATCTTAAATTTAAAACAATCCAAATACCATAGAATTTGATTTTTAAAGTTTCTTCTTTGTTTTTTCTCATAAAATTCTTCAAACCTTTAACAAGCTTCTTTTGTAAACTCCATACAAAAAAGTTATCCAATAGATGAGAAAGTATCTGCAGTTTGACAATGCAGTGTCAAATAACTCATAAATGAAACCAAAGCTTTATTACAAAGACTAGCATAAAATTACCTAAGAATGGTAGGATTTTAATGTTTATATAAGAAATAAGAGTCCTTATACAGCTAGTCCTTGACTTATAACTACAATTGACTGGAACATCTGTCGCTAAATGTGGCTGTTGAATGAATTGAGCTTGATATTACCACCTGCAGGTGTTTTACAAATCATATGATGGTTAAACAAATATGGTTTTCCTTATCGAGTTTGCTTGTCAGAAACCCCGAGGTGGTCATAAATGGTGATCAGGTGACACTGTAACCGTTGTAAATACATACTAATATCCAAGCACCTGAATTTTGATCACTTGATTGTGAGGATGCTGCTACAATTGTAGGTGTAAATCACCAGTTGTAAATCACTTTTCACATTCATAATTCTAAATGGGTATTAAATGAATGGGCATAAATTGAGAACCACAAGTCTATATCAGAAAATGTGGTCAAATATATAGCAACAGTATGTACATTTTAAATTCTATACAGGCTAGGCAGTTCTCTTTTGTGATTTTAACAATGTCTAGGGTAGACATTTCACCATTATCTGCCTTTCCATTTTGTCATTGCTTAAAAGCTTAACATGAGATTCCTAACAGTTGTTCATGTTGAGAATAATTACTGACAGCAGTAGCCTGTGCTTGAAAGAATTATTACAGCTTGCATTCTTGCAATTGCAAATTAATCTTCTCTGATGAGTCATATGAAGATGTCATTCAGATTTGTTTGAGCTTACTTCTTTTTCAGTTCAGCATTATCTTGGGTTCCTCGCTTTGTATTTGGTAACAATTGCCAATTCAACCTTAGATTGTAGGCATCAAAAACATCTTACGAAATTCTCCTGCATGTTTGTGTATTGGTTGGCTATACCCTCAGGAACCATTGGGCAATGATTCAAGGTGATAATAGTTCTGTTGCCCTTGATAGAGATTGTGAACCTTTAATCAGGCAAATGTAAATGCAGGTTGCTAAGAAGCTATTCTAGGCCTTAAAAGTAATTTCAGAGGGTGATGCCAGCCATGAACACCAGTTCAAAAAATCCATTTAGGATTGTTTAGATTGATCACTAGTTTGCCCTTGTTCTCTGTTCAAGTTTATATTTCAACACCAGGGAATAAAAACTCTGGAACTTCTACTTTAACCAGTTTGCTTCAAAGGAGTGTATCTTTATATGCCATGATCAATTCTTCTAGTAAGATGCTACATTGCTAATTATATAGTGCTTATTTTTATAATTGCTTTATAACTGAACAACAGAATAACAGAATTTGAAGAGACCTTGGAGATCTTCTAGTCCAACCCCCTGCTCAGGCAAGAAACCCTATACCATTTCAGACAAATGGTTGTCTAGTCTCTGCTTAAAAACCTCTAGTGTTGGAGCATTCATACTTCTGAAGGCAAGTTGTTCCACTGATTAAATGTTGTCAGGAAATACACACACACACATACTGTTTTGTGTTGCAGAAGAAAGGAAGGATATATAATCTAATAAATAGGGATTATTTATTCACATTACAATTTCTCTTTATAGGCCTCCAGTGTGTTGAATGGAGGAAAATTTAAAATTGGGCAGAAACATGGACAGATAGGAGCTGAAGAAGAGATGAAGGGCTTGCTGCAGATATGTAAAACTGGAAGGAACCGTTATTGTTGTATAAACACTGAACATATCCTTTCTCTATATAGAAATAAATAGAGGATCTAGAGAATTAAACTAAACAAAAATAAAGGGATAGAACACAAATATTTGTAATTGCAATAAAAGCCATGCCATTGTTTCACAAAAAGTTATAATTTCAAAAAAAGAATGTTGTATTCGCAGCAAACTTATCAAACTAAGCAAATACAGTACATTTAGCTGAACTGTAATGAGCTTTAGGAAAAAACTGGTCCTGGAAAAAAGAATGCGTGAACTTCAGCCTGTCTTAATCGATGCCAAGAGTTATTCATTTTCAAACTTAAAACCACTTGAGACCACTTGAAGATTAATATATTGCTAAGTTACTGACAAACATTCTCTCACCTATGCCCAGGGAAAATTAGCGAAACTTTATTTTTATTAATACATTGCATTGGAATAATATCATACCCAAGTACAATCAGATGCCTTCATTCATCTACATAATTGCTGGGGAAAATCAATTCTTCAAATGTTTCCTATCTGCTCCATCCATAGACACACAGATTCCAAAACCATGTTAAAAATTTCAATTTCATTAGTTTAGACAGGGTAATTTTTTATATTTATTGGGCTGGAATGGCACTGAATATTTTAATGGAAAGTATTTAAAGGTGTGAAGCTCAACTCTATAATTATTGTTCCCCTTACATTTTCTCAACAAATTCTTCCATAGTGACTTCCCATAGTTGTACAAACTAAATTAGTCCCCAGAGTCCATAGCTAGTATGGAAGAATTCCATTCTGGTTGCTTTGGTATCATATCATGATTGATTTTTCTCTGGTTAGCTTCTCCACTTCTTTCATGAACCGGAGACATAACTCTTCTTGCCATGGCAAAGCCACGCACTGGACAGCCACAGGGAGTCCCACAGCCCCTTTCACTGCCTACAAAGACAGAATGAAGAAAGCATCTTTTTACAGCAAGTGTCAAATAGATAGTCCTCGAAATAAGAATGCTCACTTAAAGACCATCTGAAGTGCAAACAGACTGCCTGAAAGCTACTTACAACCCCCTTTCGAACTTATAGCTGTTGCGGCACTCCTACAGTCATTAGCCCTTATGACTGACAGCAGGGACACTACAGCCTTCCCTCGTCTCTCTGTCTCTCTCTCTCATCTTGTTCCTCTGGGACCCTGAAGGCCTTGGATTATTTTCCCACACGCCTGTCATCCATCACATCCTTGCCTTTCAAAGATCTCTGAGCCTCATGCTGGGGAAAAAGGGCAGGCCACATGGCTACCCTTCAGAAGGAATGGCCATTTTCAGGTTTCCCACAATTCCTTGTGATCACACAAAGGTGGTGTCTCAGGGTTGGAGAAGGCCAGGGCAGGTCTCCAGGGTTCTTCCCTACATCTAAAGCACACCGTGCTCCACTTAACAACTTGCCTTTTTGTTTAACAGCTGCATCTGCGAGATCATGGAGTGGGGGTTAAATGAGGCCATCTCACTTCATGACCATCATGACATGACCATAATGGACAGGCTCCACTATGGTCATATCTTGAGGATTACCTTTAAATGCTGCTGGGCACTGTCATGAGGCAATTCCAAGTACCTTTGCATGGAGTTTGTCCCCCAAATCATTGTAGTGTCCTTTGAAACTCTTCAGCTCCTCTTCGTCCTCCTTTGTCACTGTTGTAACTGGTACTACTCCAGCAGGGAAGTCCAAGTAGTTATATAACATGGTATTACTACAGACCTCTGTACAGACAAAAACCAGAAGGGAAATTAAATGGCTACTCAGCTCTCTTGAGCAACCTGCAGAGATTAATAGCACAAGGAAGACAGTACTTCATAATTCTAATCACACATGGTATCTCCTCCCCATTCTACAGATGAGAAAATTATTTGGAAAAACTGAAGCTGATCTCAACAACTAAAACAGATACAGAAGGTTTCCTGTTTACAGCTTTATGCGTTGTCTTTAACTTTCCTCTCTTTAAAAAGACACTCAAAACAGTTTTGTACTGGAACCTATATTTATTTATTTATTTATTTATTTATTTATTTATTTATTTATTTGTTTATTTATTTGTTTATTTATTATTTATTTATTATTCATTTATTATTTATTTATTTATTATTATTTATTATTATTTATTATTTATTTATTATTTATTTATTATTTATTTATTATTTATTTATTATTTATTTATTATTTATTTATTATTTATTT